ACCAGACAATCCCTTTTTTGAGCCTTTACCCTGCACATGTAAATCAAAGCAGAATCCTTTCAAGTCATCTGTACCTTTTCTTCATCTAACTTGATATTCCCAGCAGTATAATGATAAAAAAGCAGACTCCTTTGTCTTGAACAGGTCCTCATGACTTCATAAGCAGATCCAGATTCATTCTTAGTAACAGAAGTGGAGTGCTAGTATCTTCTTCCAGGAGGCGTTTTCAACTACCTAGCCTAATCTACAGCCCTGGGATTTCCTAGTGGTCTCCATTTCTGAATCAGTTCTGACCTTGTTTAGGTTTTGGAGCTCAGCCAAGATTGGCCATGGCTTGGATAAATCTATATTTTTGGAAGTCTAGAATTTCCTGAAAAGATAAACTAATATTAGTCTCCAACAATTAAGTGTTCTTTGCACTAGCTAGAGGTCCTGGTCTCAGTACATTTGAGTTCAACTGTGCTAGTTGTAAATTAAAATAAGTCTCTCCTCTCTCTTTAGAAAATAAGATAATGTTTCTTTCTTACAACTCATGCATTTTGTTTACATGTTATTTATCTCAAGTTTGTCTGCTGGTTGTAAAAGAGAGACTGTTCTGTGAGAGGTCGAAGGTGAGGGAGAAATAAATGCTCTTGTATGCAGCAGATGTAGTACACACAGCAGCCCTTCCTAGGGAGTGAAAATTTGTGATGTCATTATCAAAACCTGCATTGCTGAAGTCCTTCTGAGAGATATATACATAGGGGTGGGCGTGTGCAGAGAGCATGAAAGAAAATCAACTGGAAAAAATGCATATACTAAAATAAGACACTGGAGAAAATACCTACTGGAAGTGGAACTCACTCTGATATATATAAAAGAAACATAAAAATGAACAAACTAATACAGTGGTACCTCGAGTTACGAACGCCCCTCCTTACGAATTTTTCGAGATACGACCAGCTCCGGCCCCAAAAATTTACCTCGACTTGAAAACTCCCCCTCGAGTTACGAACCGGATCCGCAGGCAATTTCCCCGCTGCCACGCGGTCGCGGCTTCCTGTGGGCAAGATCGCGGTAGCAAGGAGACGTTCGGTGAGGCTTGTGGTGTGTTTGGTGGCGTTTGGAAGGTGTTTGGTGTGCTTGTCAGCATGGCTCCAAAGGAGATGCAGGGC